GATAAGATAAGTCTCTCTTAATCCTAATCTAATAAGATAAGTCTCTCTTAATCCTAATCTGATAAGATAAGGCAACCTAATAAGATAAGATAATCTAATCTACTAACTTAATAAGATAAGATAAGAATAACAAGATAGTCTAATCTAATCTGCCGAATGGATAAGACTGTTGCTGCCGAATTGGATAGGATGAGAACACCGGATCATTGCTGCTACTGCTCCCAATACGTGTCCACATCATTAAGTGACTAGCATGTTTAGCTAATTAGCTTACAGATTCCATGCCTTTTATCTGTATTTTAATGTTAGTTGCTTATGTTGGCTGAAACATGAAACGCAGTCAACAGTCAACACTATTACCTAATGATAATGAGAGCTACATAATATATTAATTAGCAGAGATCTGTTGCATATTTGGTATAAAGGTCATGCATATATTACATACATGTAATCTATGTTAGTAATAAACATATAACCTATTTGAGTATGTGACAATATTTTGGAATATCTAATATTATTATTGTTTACAATATATTAGTTTTTCTTCTTAGGAAATAAACAAGGCCAGTTGTTCAGAATTCTGGCATGAGATGATATTACCTTTGAAAAGGTATTATGTAACAAAGGATTGATTGTATTAAATCCCTTTGTTAGTTGGATATCGGGTTGCAAATGGATCAGCCAATCAGGTATGGTACAAGTTGTTATAATCCCACTCCTGACCTTAATGAACTTTTCCCCAATAAAACCCAGTATGCCCTGTTAAAGAGGTGAGGTGAGACAGGGTGAGATAGAAAGCTGGGCAGAGAGAGGAGGCAGGGTTATGAGTAGGTAAGTAGGTGAGAAAAAAGAAAAGAGGGAAAAAAAAAAAAGAATGATGGTGCAGCTTCTATCTTTCCTCTCACATACACACACACAGAGCTGATCTGCTAAAAGAATGCAGTAAATTCCCGTACCACTGAAATTGTGAAATAATTGCAGAACAAAAGAAAGGTTTGCAAGAATGTAAGTCATTAACTCCATCTAGAAAACACTTTAGAGACTGATCAGGTCTCGAGCCAGGTTCTTGACCTGCAATGTGAATCTTAGACTATAGACCCCCTGGCTTTGAAAATCTGCAGAACTGCAGAACAAAAGAAAGATTTGCAAGAATGTAAATCATTAACCCCGTCTAGAAAACACTTTAGAGTGATCAATTCTTGATCCAGGGTCTTGACCTGCAATGTGAATCTTAGATTATTGACCCCCTGGCTTTAAAAATCTGCATAACTGCAGCTCTCTGAGGTAAGGTCAGTGAACCTCATGTGCACCCTACTCTGTCCCCACCCTGAGTCAGAAAAAAAAAAAACAAAAAGAAAAGAAAAGAAAAGGAAAATGAAAATGAAAAAGAAAACCTGGCTTTAAGGGGTCAAGATATAAGAAATGTATTTGTGCTGTCTGAACATCTTGCTGAATCAGTTCGCCATCTCTTATTATATTGCAGCTTCTTAGTTTAGGTATGGATTCATCTCATAGAGCTACTTGGCAATGATTATTATTGGGTGAAATAGCCTGTTCAGTTTATTTTTGGCTTGTGAGGGGTTTGCAAAACAAGGTGATATTATATTAAACCTGATATGTGCAATATGTTAAGTATATGGAGAGAAAAACTTATAAAAAAAGTATATATAGAGAAAGAAAATTTGGAATTTTTGAAGAAAAGCAATGTGAGAGTTTTGTAAGTCATCAGAAAAGCGGAATGTACAATCTTTTCTTAGGCATACAAGCTAGTAGATTTTGGTTATTTGAAAATTTCTAATTTTTGTAATGATTGGGAGAATATACCTTCTAGTTCTTAGTTAGGGGAGTTGATTATAGCTATACATCAGCTCAAAGTCGATATTTGTATCTACTTGTATGGGCCCCCCTGAACATTTTACCATTGATGCAATTTTACTTTAATTAAATCTCCCTAAAAAGGAGCTTTAAAGTAGAAGTCCTAGGTATTCGTTACAATTTTTAGGTATTACAGTTTCTGCATACACTTAAATTTTTTAAATCCTTGTTTGTTTGTGTAGGCCGTATCTCTGATCAGAACCCTGATGGTTACACCCATGCTGTATACATGCGCTTCCAAAGAAGGGAAGACCTTGCAAAGTTCTATAGTCATTCTTTCTACTTGGGAGTCTTAAAGGACCATGTGGTTCCTTACTGTCATGTATGCCACATGTAAACACCAACAAGCCAGTTCCTTATATGTCATTTCTTTTTAGTTTTATCACAGAAGCACCTTTATCATACCACATTAATTGGAGACAACTTATAGTTGGTGGATGTTTTTTAGGGGTTGATTTCTGTGGATTATGAATCTGAAGTAGAAGATGATATCTTGCCTATATTTCGCAAGGGAGAGGTTAGGTTCATTAAACCCACAGAGTTCATCTGAGTTATCGATTCAATATTAATTCAGTAGGAAATTGAAATGATCCAGTGGATTCTTCTGTTGGTTTCACAATTGAAATTATCTTGTCGACTTGTTGCTGGTTTCACAATTTAAGGTAATTTTGTTCTTTGAACTTTTTAGTCAGCTCTGGATCAATAAGAGCATTCATTGGTCATCCCACTTAATGAAAATTTACTTATTATGACTTAATTTTCTTTTTTCTAGTATTATGTTCTGATGATTCTTAAACTGATGTGAGCTAACTTTGGGGTACAGGAGTTCAATTACGGGGTGGAGTTTGTGCTTCTGCTTTCAGTTATTGAGAGTGCAAATGGTGGAAGTATAGAGGATGCATTGGCTACTTTTGCAAAGTTGACCATGGACTTCCCCTCATTGATTGTACAGTCCACTCAAGGTGTGCTTGAAATAAAAAAAATAAATAAAAAGAAACGTTTTTGGTCTTGAGCATGATTGCTTGCTTATTCACAAACATAGTCCAACTGTAAAGAAAATGTTTCTTAATTGTATTGCCTTGATATCGAGAGTCTGAGATTAAGACAACCCTTTAATATGTGATTCTTTTCTCTTCAAGTTATGTGTCAATTGGTCGCATGTGACATGTCATACTTTGTATTTAGTTTCACATTCATGTTCAATTTTCAGGGACAAATTTCAATTCTAGTGATAACGAATATACACATTGCATAGTAATTCGCTTTCGGTCAAGTAAGTTTTCCTTTATGACTAGTAGCAACTGCTTCTCCCCTCACACAAACAGAAGAAAAAAACAAAGAAATAAAACTGATAAAACAACTAACTTTTGGTCTGTTCTTGCAGTTGAAGCCTTCCAGATATTTGTAGGTGGCTCAGAGTACAAAGATGTAAGGAACTAAGGACCTAATCCTTTGAACGAGCATAGCTTTGTACTTTAAGATTTTGTTATTATTCATAAGAAAAATTAATATTCTATTATTATTGATTATTTGAGCCACAAAAGCAGCATGAACTGATTGATCAAAAAATACTGCATGAACTGTGTTATATACATGCATGGTTACATTCTTTTGTGTATGCCCTAACATATTCAGACAGCCATTAGATTATGAACTGGGGATTAGAAACATGGTTTTCTGTTGCCATTTTTGGTACCAATGCTAGTAGCATTCTTTCTAGTTTCTAGTAATCTTTGGAAAATGAACTTGTGCATTCTTTCATCCATGTAGCTACTCTTTCAGATGTGGAGTGGCTTTATTCACCATAATGGATTAATGTTCAGCTTGATAGTGACATTCAGGCTTCAGTTCATTCTTGTATTAGGGGTGATACTTGTAGCCTAGAGGCAGGATAGTAGTTTGGTGGATTTTAGGGTTTTTTTTAAGTAGTTTTTTTTTTTTTTTATGTGTGTGTGTGTGTGTTTATAGACTCTTGTTGCTTGTTGTTTGATTGATCCGTATGCAGATTTGGAGATCAAAGTTCCAGCCGATAACCCAGAAAAGTCTGTCAGTTCATTTTACCGTGGATCCTGTTGGCACCGAAATTATGTAGTACAGCTCCTTTGGGTTGATGGTTTGTTCCCTCACTCGTTTATGTAAATTATATATGAAGTGAAAGAAATACATAGGAATTGCTGGAGCAAGCAGTATTATGAGTGGCATTGTGCTGAACTGCTTGGGTTTGATACATTCACTGTATCTTTCTATATCTATATGTATTTAGCATCCATTCATCCTAGACTGATGTTTATTTCCTGTTATGTCATAATCTCTCTCTCTCTCTCTCTCTCTACCATGTGCCTTATGTGCATATGCACATGTTCAAATCTGTGTCTGTCTCGGGGAATGTGGAAGAGACCATTTGTATACAAAGAAAGGAGATAAATAACGTTATTTATAAATAAAAGAGTACAAAACGGTCTTCCTGCGTACACGATACTTTCTGATTAGAGAACATGTCAAAACAAATTGAGTTCCTATTTACACAAGTACTTCACATCTTCAAATTTACTCTTGACCTCCTGAGTTCATAAAAAAGAAACATATCCTTCCAACTGTGCTCCTTCATCTTGCCTGAAAGCTTCCAAACAAGTTGCTGTGTGTCTGCAAAAACTAGGACTTTCTTAAAGCCTCTATTTATAGTTTCCTTTAAACCTTCCTTTACTGTTTCATAACTGTTGTAAACTTGACACGGTGATGCTGCAGCATAAATAAATCTGTTAATTTCTTCGATCTATCAACAAGAAGAGATTCTAATTTGTTGGATTATACATATTTTAAGACTTCCATGAACAAGAACCAGCATAAACTCACGTGTGTACATGTGGTTATTGGTATTGGGGCCACTCATGATACGGCACATCAGCCTCATATGTGGGGACCCACAACTGCAGACCTTACGTGGTGTATCATGAATGGTGCGGTCTTATAAAGACAACTGCGGACTACCGGAATTCTAAGACGGGAAGAAAGAAGGTACAGCAGATTCTCAGGAAAAAAAAAATCTGTGTGTTAGGTAGTTAGTTACTTTCTTTTCGTTTTTCTCATTGGTTTCATTTTGAATTAGTTGGGGATCTCTTGCTACTGTTCTTTTATTTTATTTTATTGTTTGTTTCATGGGGCTATGCAACCATAGTTTCAAGATCGATACATCCTGAATTCCCGATGCGCAAGAACAGGCGTATCGGTGTGTTTCGCTACTCTATAACTCTGTTATTTTAATTTTTTTTCTAAATTACATCAGAATCTGAAGCACCTCTTATTTGAGATTCCGGACATCAGTTATATCGTATCCAAATTTTAAACCTCCCAGGCAACAGAAATAACCAATCCCTATAGCTATGGCAATGGAATTTGATCCTAATACTCCGCTACAAGCAGCAGATAACCTACCAACTGGGCCACCATCAGTTGGTGATCTTGCTACTGTAGTTCTCACAGTATTTCAATCTCCTCCATGTTACCGATGCCACCGGGTGTTGTTCTGAACCACATGATTCACATCATTTAATCTCTTTCAAATCAAATCGAAGTGCATTGTTTGACCAACCAAAATTAGTACAACTATTTGCACAATTTTATATAATTGAAGTCAGTCTACATAAACTATTCTGTCCAATTTTAAATTTCTGAAACCCAACGTTTGTCCCCAGCAAACTAGCTTCCCTAATAAATAACCTGTAGATGGTAGGGATTCCATTTCAATATCGAAGTTAAATCCAACAAGTTATTTCCTCTTGTGTCTGAGATTTGACCTTGCAAGCCACTTCAATTATTAATTATAGCTCTTGTTTATCTTATAGGTCGGTGATTAAACCTAATTTAATTGGCCATCTGTCCTATCAGTTCATCGGTGTTGGGCCGGAAACTCTTCTTTTCTCCAATTTATGGCATTGTCACCTTCTAAACTTTTCTTTTCTACATATGATTGTACAATTCAAATAAAGTAATAAACTAAGTCTCCAAATCTTCACTGGTTGGATTCCCTTGCTCTTGGTGAAACTCAACCCAGATCCTGCCGGAAACCGGCCACACTGTATAGTTAATTAGTTGCATACTTTGTACACATCCTTGACATTGAATTGCTTGCATTAATTTGTGCTTGATATATATCTTTATCATCCAATCAAGTCCTACAGTCGTTCATGAAGGGAAAAACAACAAAAGAACTTATATCTCTTTGTAAACTTTATCTATTATACATCACTGGTGGAAGGAAAAAAAAAAAAAAATCTATGACTAACTTTCAAGTATAAAACTGAAAAAAAAAAAAAAAAAAACTCTAGTTTTGGCATTTAAACAAGAAAATTAGCATGGTTTGATCCTTCCAGCCATCCAGTCCAATCAATTGTGAAGTGGGTTGGGTCCTCCTGGCACAACTCGATCAGAAGCCCCAAAAAATGGATCAGCCTTGGAGTTGCTGAGATTTGGAGAAGGTGGAACCGCAGAGAAACGCCATGAAGCCTGGGTTGAAACTTCAGTTCTTGACCTTGGGCCAGCTTCTAATTTGCTGGTTGCTCTGTGGATGTAGTGGGAACTCGATAGCTGGGGAAAGGTTAGTATGACTAAGAGAAACAAAAATGGGACTAGAGAATAAAGAAATCTCATGATGTGAAGAAGAACAAGAAGAAGAGGAAGGAGTAGAAAAGTTGAATTGAGTTGATCACGAAGGCAGGCAGGTGGGGGAGCTCTCTATTAATATGGGGTCAGGCAACCTGTGGCAAAGGAAGATAGAGCCAAATTTTTATAATTAATTAATTACCTCAAATTGACTAAAATGCCCATAAATATCTTTAGTTTTGCACTGACCCTCTTTATTATTATCATTGGCTGCCCAAAATACCCTCTAAAGTCTAAACTAATTGATGAATATTTTCCTCTATCTCCCAAAATTATTTGAGGGTCCCTCTTCAATCTTCATTCTGGGCGCAAGACAGTATTACATCCTGTTTCTTTATGCTTTCAACGTGCGGCAGATGAATTGGAAGGGCAAGATAGGTCAACCTGTTTGTTAATACCAACTCATTTGTACGTGGCAAATTGAAGTCCTGTAACACTTTGCCACATGATTAAAATATAACCATTTTTACCATGCTGTTCAATGAAAATGTGTTACGTGGGTAGACGTGGACAGTAGTAAAAGAAGAAGATATGACCACAATATTATATGGGTAGACATGGGCAGAGTTCTTGTCAGCATGACTCTTGTATGGGGTCGTCTACATGAATCCTGATTCACCTTTCAATGTCATATCCATTATTAAATTACGAGTGATGACATTATTTCAATATTGACTATAATTTATATAGATGCCTATTTATGAAAAAATATAGTAGAAAAATCTCTATCCCATCAGTTATCTTTTATGATCTTCTGATTTATGTTATCCAAATACGACAAAGACATAACTAACATGGTATCAGATATGAAATTTACACTACAAAATATCTAGATATCTTAGCTTTTGAAAGCATATTCAATTTTGAGGTAAAAAGACATAATTATTATATTGATCAGACAGCCTAAACCTTTTTAATTTAGGGAGAATGATAGTTTAGTCCAGGGTCAAAATTTTTAGGCCCAAAGTACAGTTGGGATAAGTTCCAGCTCAAAATTAATGCCAATTTACAGACTGACATTGATGTATAAAATAGAGATTTTTGACATTTTGAATGTTTACAAATCTGCAGTGGAATTCAGAAATTTGCGTTGAGCCTATCTGTACTTTTTCGTTTAAATGCGTTGAGCCTATCTCTATCCCATCAGTTATCTTTCTAGTGAAACAAATAGAAATTGGGGTGGGAGTATCAATGTATCAAAGTGGGATATTGACCCATTCGTGAGTATGAAGAGAGCCCAATTCAGTAGGTGGAAGAGATGAAGCAATAAGAGCTCTTTCTCAATTTTAATTTTAGTTTAGTGATGAAGGGCTAAAGCTAAACCCCCCAAGTGGAGGTTGTCAACTTGTCAAGGGCATTTATGTATTAATAGAAAAGATGGTTGGAGTTGACTCTTGATCTGTTTGATGCTTTTCAACCCAATTGGCTTACATAGTTCTCCGTGCTACGTTACATAATTATTAGATGGTTAGATAAGACATGCGGTACATTTATAGACACGTGTTGCAGTAAATGTGGCACCAGGTGGCATGGGCGTTACATTTATTTCAGAAACTTGAATGATTGGATTGGATGTCTAACCAAGTAATCTATTTCTGATAATTGGGCCATGCAGGTCTGAAAGAGAATGAAGTTTCATGGATTTTGATTGTGTCAATCAATCTTTTGGTTTCTGGGTTTTGCTTGATATGTTCTTTTGAGAAAGATACACATTCAAGGTCTAATGCCTTCATTGGCAAGCTAATCTGTCGTTTGATTTTATTCTGGATTTTATACTAAGCCATAGGCAGTTTGGCTTTGATTACTTTTTTTACTGTACTTACTTAGTGATTGTAATAAAGAGAATGACGGTTGAAATTGAGGTCAATTTATGGGTAGACATGGGTGTAAAAAGTGTGAGTTTTTTACCATTTGAATATTTATAACTCTGCAGTGAAAATCAGGGCCCCACTTTGCACCACCTCAAATGGGGCATGTTTTCCTCGATTTTAAACGATGATGGGATGGGGATAGGGGTGAAGAAGAAAAACCGAAAAATCGAATTGATTGGTTTGGTTTTGGTTCGGTATTTCAAAAAAAATTAAAGGTATCGATTCGGTTTTGGTTAACCAAAATAGAAAATCGATGGTTAATCGAATTGACCGATATATAGACCTGTTCATGGGCCGGGTGGCCCGACGGGCCGGCCCGGCCCGGCCTGACCCCCGGACGGGCTTGAACATGTTTATAGGCCCGCGGGCTTAAATTCGGGCCAAAAAGCCCGGCCCGCAATAAATTCAAGTCGGGCTCGGGTTTTTTCAAAATAGCCTGGCCCGGCCCGACCTAATATTAAACTTAAAATTAGTTATGTGATTATGTCCATTTGAATAAATTTTTTGATTTAAGAATGTAAAATTGTGTTTTAAAATATAAAAGAAAGGGAAAAATACCATCTTGTAGGCCCGTTGTTCATTTAAATAGAAAAAAAAAATACTATATGAATTTTTAATTCTAATTTGAATAGGGAAAATTGTTTTTTTTTTCAATTAGGTCGAGCTTCGGGCTCAGGCTCGGGTTTCAGGCTTTTTACCAGGGCCGGGCTCGGGCCCAAGTTATAGGCCTGTTGGTCGGGCCAGGCTC